CAGATGGGATAAGGTTCTTATGCTGGAATGCAGTGTGTTCTTTTCTCCAAACAGAACACTTCTCATATAAACCAAAAAATTATATTTTGGTCTCTGTCCACAAAACATTTCTCCAATAGTCGTCTGGCTTGTCCACATGATCTTTAGCAAGCTGCAGACGGTCAGTGATTTTCTTTTTGGAGATCAGTGGCTTTCTCCTTGCAACTCTGCCATGCACACCATGGTTGCTCAGTGTTCTCCTGATGGTGGACTCGTGAACATTAACATCAGCCAATGTGAAGACTATTGCAAGTCTTGCTTTTGGAGTGATCTTTGTTGGTCGACTGCTTCTGGGGAGAGTAACAGTGGTCTTGAATCTCCTCCATTTCTACACAATCTGTCTGACCGTGGATTTGTGAAGTCCAAACTCTTTAGAGATGGTTTTGTAACCTTTTTCCAGCCTGATGAGCAGCAACAACTCTTTTTCTGAGGCTCTCATAAAAATCATGGCTTGTTCGTGCCATGATTAACTTCCGCAAACATGATCAGACTTTCATAGATCCCTGTTCTCTAAATAAAACGGCAGGCAATGACACCTGATATTCAGTTCTCCTCCGGCCAGACGAACCAGCAGGTTGATACATGCTGCAGCAAATTTAGATTGTGCAGAGGACTCATCTGGTTCCCATGGTCTTGGCCCAATCAGGGCCGTCCTTAGGGGGGTGCAACTGGTGCGGTCGCACCGGACCCCACGCTTGAGACAAGGTCTTCACTGGGGAACTGACTCTCGGGCTCATCTAGTTGTCCTGGTCTCCGCTGAAATTCAGGGCTGCAGAGGTCGTCTAGGTGCTGATCCACCACCTGGGCTGGATATGGACTGGATCTGGTGGCTACGGTGATCTCGGGAAAAAAAAGAAAGAAACAGACTAATATTAGCATAGATGCCATTCTTCTTATGATGTAATTCTTCTTACGAATTTCTTCTTACGATGTAAATTCTTCTTATGATGTAAGAAGAATTTTCAGTTATCATAAAATGTTCTTTACAAAATTGGAGAAAAAATATATATATAAAAACGTAAATTGTAGTTTTAATTTCATAGAATTGCATGTCAACGACGTGCCTTCCGACAGAGTGTTGCTCCCATAGACTGTAAAAAAACAGTCAGTCACAGCTGACTTTCTGAAGCTGCTGGGTAATGTAGTTTTTAGCGGAAGGAACGAGGCGAAGAGAGCAGAGTATATTTGAGAGAGTAACGGTAAAACTACAAAGACCCACAATGCCGTTCACGGACTGAGTAGAGGTCTCGAGCGGCATGGTGGTCAGACCGGCCGGTGCGCAGGGAAAGTTGCGGCAGGGAGCCATGTAACCAGCTTAAACGGCATTTTACCACTTTAAATCGCGACAATCACATTGACAGGATTACACGGTGATTTGAATTGAAGTAAGGCTTGTTGCTTTTCTGTTGTCATTACACATTTACCGCTTTATCGCTCGTAATTCAGCATTTTGATTTCTGTCAGCTGCCAATGGGAAATCAGTGTGGATACGCCACACACTGAGGCATGCGGAATCTGAGGCGTTTGTGTGTCCAATTTAAAATTATATTTGTTACAATTCAAAGATGTCCCTTTTATATTTTTAATCTCAACTACTGTTGGTGTTTTTTTTAATTCACTCAGTGAGCAAAATACATGAAGCCTACGGGTTAGAATTACATGAATTGGCCAGTACTGTCCACAATATAATTCAAAATTTAGCTTAACAGCCACACGAGACATGGCCACCACCAGACTGATGAAACCAGTCAGTCTTGACCACATGACAAAATTGTAATATATATCATATAGGGTTTGCATTGCTGTGACTCAGTGCAACTCAAATTCAGTCAAGTGACATGTGGCCAAGTATGGTTACCCATACTAGGAATTAGTGCTCTGCATTTAAACCATCCTAAGTGCACACACACAGCAGTGAACACACACACACCGTGAACACACACCCGGAGCAGTGGGCAGCCATTTTTATGCTGCGGCGCCCGGGGAGGTGCCTTGCTCAAGGGCACCTCAGTCGTGGTATTGAAGGTGGGAGAGTGCGCTGTACATTCACTCCCCCCCCCTACAATCCCTGCCGGTACGAGACTCGAACCCGCAACCTTTGGGTTACGAGTCCGACCCTCTAACCATTAGGCCACGACTTCCCCCTATATACACGTGTATGACATGCAAGCTTATACATGACTTGATTTTACCACAGTTACTTGAAGAGGATGCGAAGAGCAAGAATTAGTATTAAACCCAATGTCAGGCCAGGAGGTCGAAGTGTGGCACCCGCAGCTGAGGACAAGAGCGCCCAAGGGTCCACAGCTGTTGATGACACCCATCAAAAGCTGTCAACTTCTCCACAGTCTCAGCTGGAAGCCAAAGAGTCTGCTGTGGCGACAGGAGATGGAAATGTGCCCGGCTCTCCATCAGAGAAAGCATCACTGAACATGTAAGCACACCCTGACAGCACCCCCAGAATTTACTAAATAATATTTATTCTCCCTGGAACCATATTTGTTTTTGTTTTTTGTTTTTTTTAAGGAAGACATTGGCTGTAGAAATCAAGTATATTTTGGGCTGAATTGGAAAATGGCAATTGCCTCTCGTGTGGAATCAAATTGAACATTTATGATTAAACATACACTACCATTCAAACATTTGTGGAAATTAATACTTTTATGTATGATCTTGAAGGAAATTAGGCTGATACTTTTATTCAACAAAGATGCATTATATTACAAAAAAATCAAAGTTTAATAAACTTTAAAAATAAAGTATGTTGAAATATTAAATTACTAAAACCAAACTGAAATAAAAATAAGTGAAAGCTAAAGAAAAAAGAACAGAAAGTAATAAGAACTTAAAATAAAATTCAAGTTGAAATATAACAATAAATTCTAATTCAATATATTATTTGATACTTGGTTTCATCATAGTCCTTGACTTATCTTTGTGTTTTTCTTATCATAATCATTAGATTTATCTCATTTTGTTTTCAATTTTATTTTCTATTTTTATTTTATTTTTATCTTCTATTGCATTGCTGTTGCATATGAATGTGAACTTTGATATTTCAGATTATATTTCCTGACTAGGTACTTGGGGGGGCGGGAAACTGTCAACCACAAAAATGAATATCAATATTCAGTTCAGGTCTGTCTTTAGACTGCCTAAAGTAAATTAAAAGTTAGTTAAATGGTAGCTATACTTAAAAGTGTCATGTGATCAAGCCTGAGATTGAGAAGCACTTCAAATCAAGCGTGTTTTTTATTCTTTTGTCCACTGACAGTAATGATGGAGCGCCATCTAGTGTCAGCACACCTGCAACTACAGTACTTCAGAGGAGGAGCAGATTCTCTGCAACACCAAACCTGGCCAGACCCAAAGTCCGTTCTGCTTCTCCATCCACTGGAAAGGCTGTTTCTCTTCCATCAGAGCCATCCAAGATATCATCCCATTTCCAGGCAGCCAAGTCTTTTCCTCAGTCCCCCATCTCAGGTGCTATCAGCAGAGATGATTCCCAACACTCTACATTCTCAGATGCCACTACAGCAGCTAACTGCCCTCCATCCTCACCATGTCTTCCATCCACATCTGGCTGTCCAGAATCTCCATCATCAACACCGTTGATGCCTAAACAAGAGCCTTGCCAAACTCCCCAAAAAATCCCAAATGAGGATTTCGGGCCTCAAGAAGGAGCCACTCCAATTTCATGCACACTCTCACCGTATGTGAAACTGTCTCGTGTTGATGGACCAGACTCTCCTCTCAGGAAGAACATTTCTTCAGACAAGCAGCAGGTCTTGAGGGCCCTCAAACTGAAAGAACTGATGAAGCTGGAGAGGAAGAAAGAAAGAATGGTAAAGTCAATTTTAAATCTAAAGTTTAAAAGTTTGGACCAGGAAATACCTACTAAATATCTACTAAAATATCAACAAATTTCCATTAAAAAGCAAGTACAAAATCATGTATGTAAACTTTGTTTTCAAAGGAGAAGAAGAGTAGACGGCATAAACGTGAGCATTGTATTGAGCCAGATCGTGACAAAATTACCTTAGCTGACTTCATTTATTACCTGCCAGAGCTAAACCCTATGAAGTAAGTTTACTCTGATATAATACATCTTCAATTATATGTTTTACGCTCTTTTGGTTTCTTTTTGCATGTATGCTGTATGAACTAACAATGAGCAATATATTTTTACAGCATTTATTAATCAGTTTGTTAATGTTAGTTAAAGGGTTAGTTCACCCAAAAATGAAAATTAGCCCATAAATTACTCACCCTCAAGTCATCCTAGGTGTATATGACTTTCTACTTTCAGACGAATCCAGTCGGAGTTATATTAAAAATTGTCTTTGATCTTTCAAGCTGTTTAATGCCACTCAGCGGGTGTTGCAGTGCATCAGTCCAAAATAAGTTAAATAAAAAGCGCCCATCCATTAAAAAAAAAGTGTCTCACACGGCTCCGGGGGGTGAACAAAGGCTTCCTGTAGCAAATCGATGCGTTTTTGTAAGAAAAATATCCATATTCAAAATGTAATAATCACTTTAATGTAGCTTGCGCCAACAGTTGTACACGGAAGCAGCTCCGGACGGATGACGTATCAGGTCAGCGTTGCACATGCGCCGCTCAGAAGTGACGAACGCGGAAGCGCAGGTGAGAGATCTACCTGTCATCTGCCCGGAGCTGATTCCGTGTACAACTGTTGGATTGATCCACACATCAGGACACATCCGAAGCTCAAATCGGATCCGAAAATTCCGCACTCACAGATGGTCGGCACCCCACGCAGCCTTTAAAGCCGCCTTTCCACTTGCACACGACAAACGACAGCCGTTGGACCGGAAGTCATTCATTTCCAATGGAGAATCGTACAGAGGCTGCGTGGGGTGCCGACCATCTGCGAATGCGGACTTTTCGGATCCGATTTGAGCTTCGGATGCGTTCAAATATTTGATCAAGTTCTTTAATAACGTTTTATGGCGGATGGCAAACCAACTTCTGGTGCATTTACCGCCACCAACTGGCAACTGGAC